GAAATGAATTAATTAAGTCATTATTTAACTAACTAAACTCGAACAAATCAACTAATTTTAGTAAACTTTAATAAGAATTAGCTTGAAAAAATGTAAATAAAATCAACTAAAACATAATTAAATAAAATAAATTAATGTAAAATGAAATACAAAAATTAATAGAATAAATAATAATAGAACCGAATAAAGTCAAACAGAAAAATAAATAACATTAATAATAATAGAAGAAAAACAAAAGAAATGGAAATAAAATAAAATAAAATAAAATAAAATAAAATAAAATAAAATAAAATAAAATAAAATAAAATAAAATAAAATAAAATAAAATAAAATAAAATAAAATAAAAAAAAAATAAAATAAAATAAAATAGAATAAAATAAGATAAAAAAATAAAATAATATAAATTAAATTAAATAAAACAAAATTAAATAAACTAAAATACAATATAAAAGTTAAATTGGGTAAAATAAAATAAAAATAAAATAAATTATATTAAATTAAATTTTATATAATTAAATAAAACAAAGAAACTACAATAAAAAAAATCAAAATTAATTTAAATAAAAAATAAAAAAAACTTAATGAGAATAAAGCGAAATAAAATAAAATGAAATGAAATGAAATAAAATAAAATAAAACAAACTTAAATAAACTTAAATAAAAAGAAAAATAAAATAAAATAAAATAAAATAAAATAAAATGAAGTGAAATAAAATGAAATTAAAAAATTTAAATTAAAGTTAATTAAATAAAATAAATTAAAATCAACTTATTTAAGTAAACATAAAAGACAATTAAGCAAAAATAAATAAAAACTAATTAATTATAAAAGGAAAAATAATATAAAGTAGAATGCATTAAAATAATACAAAATTAAATTAATTTAAACAAAAAAGTATAAAGTAAAATAATACAGAAAAATAAAATGAAATCAAGCTAAATGTAATAAAGTCAAAAAACTAAATATATTGACATTAAACAAAATGAAATAAAAAATTCGTATGATATAAATTAAGAAAAATAATTTTATAAAATAAAATAATTTTAAATAAGTTAAAACTAATCATTGTGAAGTGCTTCTGAACCCACCAATATTGATTCGGTCATGCCGAAGCAAAATTTGTATTTGATTTTGTTCCTTCATAACATTCTGAATACTTGGATGACGTTTTTACAAATTAAACTCACCTTCCTCTACCTTTACTACCTTTAGCTTCTTTGCACGCTCCACACTCGTATTGGCGGAAGCGGCCATAACCTATTAAGGAAATTGGATAATGAACCCCGCCGCCACAGCATGTTCAAGTGCTAATGTCATAATTGAGCGCAAAAACGCTTCCTTCCTGTTTGATCATCGTAAAAGTAGAGTGATGCCATGGCACACGTCTCTATTACTGTTACCAATCCATGTCCAGCTATGCAATCCATTACAACACGTTTTCATCAATTTACTTATTTGTTATATTCCATGTTTTTTCTTTCTTTCAATTTTCTTTTCAATTTGATATTGGCGTGTTGAGTGGAAATTCACGATTTACAGCTTTGCTGTTTTTCTTCAAGTAAATATTTAAAAATTGGTTGGTTTTTGTTGTTGTAACACTAGCTTGAAATGTTTTGGCTGTGCAGCAAGTGTCTTCACGGTATACTTTTGATTGCAAAATGCCAAAGATGCCAATTACATTTGCGCCACCCCACATCCCGCATTGATTTTTTCACGATTTAACGGTTTATTTTTCGCACTGTGCACCTCCTACTATTTTCTTTTGAACCATTTTTCGCCAGAAGTAATTGTCTTTGTGTACATTTAAATTTGCATTGCATTGCCGACTGTTACATAACGGTTAATTACCGGCCAGTCGACGAACCACCAACATCATCATCATTGGTGGTATGCGATCTGCGGTGTACTGACGGACGGGCTTGTTGGAGGCGCGGATGGCCAACTTGGTCTATATTTACATTTCAGTAGGCCACTCAAGCATTCATATCGCCAAACACCGCACCCACAACCTGCTGTATTGAAATATTTTTAACTTTTTTTTTGGTGTCCGATTATTTATTAAGTACCCATACTACAATAAAGACAATAAAAATGATATAACGGTACGGAAAAATGCACAAAACGTGGTGACAAGTAAACACTTCAATCGCGGTCAAAGAAATTGCGCGATTTTTAATGTTTGGCATAACCAATGAATGGGAAAACTTTGTCGGCCGATATTTGCATTTGAGTGACAATAAAAATTAAAATTACAAAAAAACAAACAAATAATTTGAACGCATATTTGTTGACAAACTTCAGTCAAAAACTTCAGTGTGAAAAAAAATTAAAAAAAATATGAATATTAAATCGAAAAATAACTCTTCTGCTGGTCTTAATTTGTTCAGATAAAAAAACAATAAACTCAAATTATATCCCATTTAGTTCATTGCGTGTCTTTTACAACTCTAAAATATGTATATTTATGTGCATACTTTTTACAAACGTAAAGGGGTTACATAGGTCTTGAAACTTCAAAAAATTAATTTTTTTATATTTTGTATAAAACAACAAAGTGCCACAAGTTTCAAGTCAATCGAGATGAAACTTTAGGAATTAGAGAGTTTTATAATCCGCCGTCTTTGTCATGGCTTGACCGATGGCGAAACTTTAAACGCGTTTTTCTTAAACCCACTTTATCGAAATCGGTAGAAAATGACTATTGAAGGGATCGAGTTCAAATTTTCCACAATTTTTTTAAGCATATTTATGTGGTCCCTAAACGAAGGATTTATTTTATCTTTGATTTCAACTCATTTTACAAGCCTAATTTTAAACAAAAAAAGACGTTTTTAGTAAAAAAAAAAGCTACAAAAAATTCAATTTTAAATTTTTGTACTACTTTTTCATTCAGGAACAAGAAAAATTCACCTACTTTTAGAAAAAATTTCAATTTTTGATTTCAGATAAAAATTGAAAAAGTTATCATGACTACCACGAAAGCACTTTCTTGTGGACGGTCTACTTCACGACACTGCCTAACGCCTTATCGTATACTATTTTTCATTCAAATTTTCATCAAATGTTGTGCACATATTGTACTTTTATATGTAAATAAAATAAATTGTATACTTTATTTAATATCCTTAAAAAAAATTAGAGAAAATAAGCTTTTTTTTGCCTTCAAGACCTATGTAACCTTTTAAGTGCTTTTTGGATGTTAAAAATTTGTTCTCCCAAACTTCTACAGTTTGCGATAATGCCAAATTTTTCTAAGATTTTTTTATTTTTAATACAAAATTTTAAAATCTTAACAGTTTATTTATTTAAAATTAATAGCCAAGGTTGTACAGGTTATAAGGGATAATTCTTAAAATTAATCTTCATATGCATATCAACATTGCACGATTTCGGTGACCAATTGACACCGCTAAGACGAGGGATTACGCAGGCGAGAACTTTCTCTCGCAATACAATCGTATTCCGCTGCTGGCGCCATCGTTTTTAAACTATTGTACATATTGTCCAAGTTGTGTCCTTTAAGTGCAGACCAAACCTATGACAGCCGACCTTACCCTGTACTTAGCCCTGTACTTTTTAAACCAGGAAATAGATAACTTTATATATAAAATATTGCACCAATTCTATTTAGTTCATATTACTTTCCCCACAATCAAATTGAAAAAATCATACGATAAATAGTCAGCCTATCTGAAACCTCTTTTTGGTACCGAACACCTCATAGAAGTTCTACTCAGTTTTGATTTTGCTTCTGACCTAGTCAACTCACACCGCCGTATAACTTTTGCGGAGATATCGAATTCGGACAAAGCTACGTAGGCGTAACTCCCTTTCGTGCTGTCCGAGACAGCTTTAAAAGCGACGGCGCTGGGAAACCACCGACTCCCTGCACTTTGCTATTATGAAAACCGATTATCGCTATTCAAACTTTGTCACAATCGGGCAACGGAAAATTGCTTCAATCATCGAATGGAGGTTCGTGTATAACATCTCTAGGTGCTGCAACACTTACCTGCTATCAAGCCTGGAGTAGTATTGCCTCTATAAACTCAGCATACTCTTAATATCTGTCACTATATTACCTCCTCGGTTCGTACATGAATATCGTTCGGTGTTGAAACCTTCAATAAGACATCTATCTTCTCGTATAATTTTCGGGTTTAATCGCTTTCGGCCAACTTCTCAAGGCCTTCATATTCACGCTCTTCGATCTCTTTTTTTATTTGGTGCGCAAATGAATCTTGATTGGCGCTTGCTTTCTTTATCTATCCCAACCCACAAATACTGTGCTGGACAGCTGGGGAGCTCGGTAAATCCAGGTGCATTATTAGATTTTTTCGTTGGAGCAAACGGCTTATCTTTACACTTTAGCTAGCTCCCAAGCGGATGGCTGTTTGGCCTAGGATTGAAAGTCGCTTGAATCATGTATAAAGGAATGTATTTTTGCCACCTGAGCGGCCAAAATCTTTTCCTGCTCGCGTAAACTTCTATACCAGGACCCCATCAATCTACTTCATTATTTCAACTAAAATAACAGTTTTGAATTTTTATAGCGGTTTTCTCGAATTTCCGAGTTTTTTATTGCATTTTTTAATTATTTTTTACAGAAATAAAAAATTTTACTTTTTAAAAAAGTAAGAAATAATATTTGATAATAAAAATTTATTTACAAAAATAATATTTCTTAGAAAACCTTTATTTAATTTTCCTTAAAAACTTATGAAATACAAAAATTGTTTCCCAATTTATAAAAATTTAATGAATTTTACGTATAGAAAAATAAAACTTTCTGACACTCCACTTTTTTTTTTGTATTTATTCAGCAATTAACAGTAAGCGCGTTATCAAATATCTCCAACGCAATTCGACAGCAAGTGCAAAAAGTGAAAATCAGCTGTGTACACAAACAATAAGCAAATGTTTGATTTTTGCTTAAAGAAAGATTAAATAAAAAAAAAATTCTACAAAAAAGTACGAAAAAATTAATTTATTCTCTAGTGTTGTTCATTACTCCAAAAAAAAAAAATCCAAAAAAGTAAATAAAAAAGAACAACAAATAACAATGTCTGCGCCAATTTGGCTCAACAAGAAAAATTCACACTCATTTTGTTGCGCATGCGCAACGGCATTACTCACGCTATTGCTACTGATCGACGGCGCGGAGAGTTATGGCTTCGGCAGGTGTCCGAAATATCCATCGATGCCGAAATTTAATATGAGCAGGGTAAGAGAAATGCATCAGCTTTTTAGCTTTTTATTTATTTTATTTAAATAATTTTTATTGCATATGTATAACACATACATATATAATTGATTAAATGATTTTTCGCCCAGCTTCTCATCGGTATCTAAAGTAAATTATATATTATTAAGTGGTGAAATGTGCGCTCAAAAAACAATTCTCTTAAATGCACCCAACACGACTCTATACGGCTTGAAGAGATTAAGCAGACAAAAACTGGATCATGACTAAAATGCTTAATAACACAATACAAAATAACATAATAGTTGCTGACTCATGTTCGTCATAATTTTTTGAATTGTTATTGTATACTTGGCTCAGATATACCATGAAGACATATATATATGTATGTACATCAAACATACATATGCATCTACATATGTACCATATTGATGGAGGCTGAAAAAATATTGTAAACTTTGTAAAGGGTGGTTTTTTAGACAAGTGCTTTCCAAAAATAAATAAAAGAAAAGTTAAAATTAAATGTAATATGCCCAAAATCTTAGTCAAGTTGTTTTTGTAACTCCAAAATATTTCCCGAATCGATTTTCGGGAATGACAGTCCATGACCGGTTAAAAATCCGGGTTGTTCCGATATAATGATCCGACTGTCGCAGAGGCTATTGGATTTTAGTCGCCTCTTACGACAAACATGCTTTTTTCACTAAATACGTACAGATTTGTTCATCATTCATATGCAATATATAATGGGCGCTTCGTAACCGCTGAAGTGATTTTTCGGCCGAGCTTCGCCTCTAATTTGTGGTTTTGCGTCTTGATGCTTTTCCAACAAATGAAGGGACCCACAGTTTATACTAAGCCTCCTCCGAACGGCTAATGGTTTTTTACGAGGAGCCTTTATTTCATGTCCGAAATTCCCTGGCGAGAGGCGACCGCAATTACAAAATTTAATTTAATATTTTTTAATTAAATTCTATTTCCAATGGGTGTTGGTGGCACCGGGATACGAACCCGAGCCTTCCGAATGTCAATACGCAATGCTAACCACTCGGCTATTACGGCCGCCATCAGCTGCTATAAAATTAGATGGGGAAAAGGAAAAGAAATTTATTTAATTATTTAAACCACTCAGTGAGTAGGTTTTGATATAGAAAAATGAGTCAGAGGAATCAATGTTGGCGAAATGTGTATTAAAATCGTTACACAAAGATTTAAAAGAGTCGTGGCTTCAAGGTTTGTTCTGCATGAACACAATGAAAGAGGCCTTAAGTGTCTAGATGATATTAAGGGGACGGTAAAGTTAAGCTCGTTTTGTAGGAATGGGCTAGTGATAACACCTCTTCTCAATTTAGTTAAAAATAAAACTCCAAGGATCTTTCTACGATAATGGATTGCAGGCAGATTAATAAGCCGTAAACGACTTTTGTAAAAAGGCAGGTTCTTCTCGAATTCCAGTTTAAATTTCTTAACGTGAATTGTAGGAATGGCTTTTGGACAAATTCCAAATTAGTACCATACAATTGATCGTGCGAACTCCAAACAACTGGGCCGTATTTCAAGATGGGTCTAACAAGTCAGGTAAAGAAATAATTTGGTCATGTATGGGTCATTGAACTCCTTTGACCAAGGTTTGATGAAAGCTAAAACATCTTTTGCCTTACTAGCACATGCATTTATATGATTTCTAAAATCTAGCTTAGGGTCCATTGTGACACCTAAATCAATGAAGTCAGTAACTATGATAGTAACTGTGATTATATATCATATAGGCAAAGGATTGGAAAGATTTTCTGGGGAAACACAATTTATCACAGGTAAATTATTGAGCCCCTAACCTGCAGTGGGGTTCGGACAAGTAACCGGCGCGGCTGGCTTGAATGAATTCCAGTTGAGAGGCCCCATTTTCTATCACTTTTTGCAGCAATTGGGTTCGTATGCCAGCAATAACTCGCCGAATATTCCCTTCCAAGACATTAATCGTCTCGATATTTTCTGTGTAGCCCAGCGTCTTGACATAACCACAAAGAATAGTCCAGCGGTATTAGATTGTATGATCTTAGAGGTCATGCCGCAGAGATAATGTCTCATAAAATGTTTCCTTCAATAAATTGATTGTTTCGTTGATTGTCCACATCAACATCCTCCAATTTAGGCATGAAAAAGTCATTAGCCATGGCTTTATAGCATTTTCCATTGAAAGTAACATTATGGACGCCTTCATTTTTGAAGAAATTTTAAACAATGAGCATACTAAATACTGACGCCTTGAGGATGTAAAGACGTCACAAAATCGGCTTAGGGATCTTCTTTACTTCAAATGCGATAATTTTGTTTATTAGCGAACTGATTCAACCAAAAGATAGCTTCATCCCTGAGCAAAATTTTCGTGTAAAAATCGGGGAGGGAAGTCATCTTTTTATGGGTCCATTAATTATTTCGTGCATGCCTGCATGACTCGGCCGCCCATGAAGCCACAATTGTAGTACGCGGTGGCAATTGACTCAATCGGGTCTTCTTCGATACTCTGTTCTAAAACAGCAAGGGATTTTTCGGTGCGCGCTGTACAATGTCTCTGAGGATACGCATTATCCACTAGAATAAATGCGGTGAAAACCCCATACATGATTTCTAGAATAGCCGACACTGCCGGACTGCGTGATGTGTCGTGCGAACCGAACCATTATTTGGGCAATTAATTTGCACGATTCGCAAACGTTGCAAGTACCAACTGTCAAGAAGACTAACTCCAAAAAAGGTATTTAAAACAAAGCACCCTTTATGAAATTATATTTTCAATGAGTTTCAATTAGAAGAATGCAAACAATTCACTTTCAGAATTATACCGCGACTTACATACAAATATAAATAACAGTAAATAATTGCTGAGATCAACCTCGGTCTACTTTTCGTAGGTAGCCGAGTAATTAGCATTGTGTACTGACATTCGAGAGATTCGGGTTCAAATCCCCGTGCGACCAACATCAAAAAGGGTATAGAAAATTTATTTAAATAAAAAATTAAGTTAAATTTTCTTATTTCGGTCGATCCTCGGCAGGAAATATCCACCCCTCCGCGTGTATTTCGAACATGAAATAAAGCCTCCTCGTAAGAAAATCATCAGCCGTTCGGAGGCGGCTCAGTATAAACTGTAGGTCCCTCAATTTGTTGGAAAAACACCAAGACGCAAAACCACGAATTGGAGGAGGAGCTCGGCCGAAAATCTCTGCATCGGTTACAAAGCGCCAATTTGTTAAGGATCAACTGATTGTTTTACTTTTATTCTATCTGTTAATATTTAATTAATCTTTTATATGAATTATTTATGAATAATTTTCATTTGTATTGCATATGTATATACACACGAGTATATACTTACAAGAGCCATGATGCACCAGTTGATAGCAATTTTCATAACTACGCATAATTGATCAATTTAATTGAGCACATATGTACTGGCAGACACATTCATTGTTACAAACATAGTAAATATGTAAGGCTCTTAAATCTTAAACAATAACAGTTGTCATGTCAAATGTGGTCTTTCTGCTTCAATTAATAAGTGCAGATCTTTACGTTTGAACGCTTATATTGTAGATATTTATGTAGCTATGCAGGTACTTACGCATTTAAAGTGCTATAAAATACCCAGTAGGAAAAATTATGACGTAAACATAATGAATGAGGCCTAGTAAAAATTATGCCATTTTTTTTTTGCAGTAGATGGCTTAAGTTATCTGTACCTCTTTCCATAATTGAGATTGGATTACACTTGATGGCGTTAGAAAGATAAAATTTTGTACTAAGAAAGGTAGCAAAAGAAGTGTGGATTATTTTACCTCGGTAGTGTTTGAGCGCATATCAAAGATGGCCACAAGCAAAGAGAAAATACACTTTATTCTACAAACTTCAAATTTCCCTCTGCGAACCGTTGAAACGTAACAAAATTTACCCTTTTCTGAAGTGGATGGAGATTGGTGATGAAAAGTGGTTCACTTACAGCATCGTCAAACAAAAAATGGTCGTGATCGAAGCGCAGTGAGCTGGCAAAGACTCTATCCAAAGCCATGATTGACGGCCATAAAGTTTCTGTTGATGGGATTAGCAAAGAAAAATCCACTATGAGCTACTCGCTAACGTCCAAACTCTTTATACGGACTGTACTGTGAGTAGTTGGACCGTCTGGAGGAATCAAACGCCACAAGCCCGGGGCATGCACATCTATAGTGACTCGCCAACTGCCTCAAGACTTTGTTGGTTCGAAGGTCCTTATGATTTTCTTTTATACTTCAGATCTCGCACCAAGTGATTGGCGAATAATTTGGCTGGTGAGGAATTGATTTCTAGAAAACCTTGTGAAAATCGATTATCACCATTTTTTGTCCATAAGGACAAGGGAACAATGTCAATACCTTTGAAATTCCAAGGAGGCTTGGAGCTTAAAGGCACACATTAGAAGTGGTTTATTGAAAATAAAAATTACGGATTCCCTTTAACTAGACCAATATTATAAATATACACAAGTGTTGTAGTTGATAATTTTCCATCGGCTTTCCAAACTTAAGTTTAATTTTTCCGGCAAGGCGAACGCAAACAGTTTGTATCGCACTCGTACTTTCATATAGAAACCTACTGACCTTTGAACAGTGTAAATTCGAATGCTGATTCTCAAAACAATGGACCGCATTCAATTAAAAGAGCGCATTAAACGAGGTCAGGTTAAGTGATTCTATGGAAATTATGCTATAGAAGTTGTAAACGATTTCACTTTCAGTGCCATAAAAGCTAGTTTAAAGCTATTTTAATTGAGAGCCAAAGCTGTTCTCACAACAGCAACCATAAAAAAAGAATGTGTATGGTACCTTTGATTTATACTATAATGAGATTTTGATGACCAAGCTTCTCCTTCAATTCAAAAGTTCTTAGAAATGATGGTATTTTTTCAAACTGGAGCTGCGGAGCCTTTAAGCGGGGGATATGATTAAATTAACTTTGTAACCGTTGAAGCGGTTTTCGGCTAAGCT